TTTTATATTAAAATTAATTTGTGATTCGGTAAAAGTTTGGAGGAACTTTTTTATTCGTGCAATTTTTCAGCATTTTTGTGATAATGCATCCTGAAAATAGCATGTTTCTTTCTCTCTATTTTCTTCAATGATATCATAAATCTAACAAAAGATGGTTCAAGAAGCTAGCGTCAACTACAATCCACATACTCGTTATACTATGGATGCCCTGCGCATCGGTTGGGAACAGCTTCTGACGAATATAAAACGAGCGCAAAATGAAACAGAGAACCAAATACTCACGCGTGATGCCAAGGGGATTTCAGAGTCACAAATAGAAGAGTGCCGTCGATGTTTCAATCACTTTGATAAACAGCGCCTTCGTCGCTTGGAGCCCTTAGACTTCAGAGCTTGCCTTGTTTCCTTGGGCTACAATATCCCTAATAATCCTCAGGTAAACTATATTTTCTTTTTTATATAATTTTCGTATTGTAGTAGTCTATTAATCTTTTATACCATAATATTTTACTTTGTACTATTTTCATATGCATGCTTAAGATGATAACTATCTCCTCCTGGTCACTTATCTTTTTTCATCCTTATGATATTATATATAGCATTGCTCCACAGCCCAGTAAAAATTGCATTACTCTCAAATTCGTGAATTTTCTTTTTGTGCATCTACTTCTTTCCTAGGCCGAACTTGACTTCCGTCGAATTATGCGAATAGTCGATCCAAACCAAACAGGATACGTCACGTTTGATTCTTTTATGAATTTCATGTCTCGTCAATCCACCGATACGGACTCCGTAGAACAGATGATCGAATCTTTTAGGACTCTGGCTGGAGATTCGGTTAATTGATACTTGTCCTCTTTTAACAATAAATTTTTGTCATAATTAAAATTTAATATATGCAGTAAATAAAAATGTATAATTTTATTTTAACTAATATTTATTGCGAAGGTATGAAGACCAAGATGGTGTGGCCTTTTGTAGGGTCTTAGTCTCCTTTCGTTGTATAGAAGTTGTTTGACCTTGTTTTCGCAACTTGGCCATATTTTTAGAAAGACCTAGAGGAACGCACCTTGTCCGGAGTCCATGCGTGATAGTTTCCAGAGTCGGATCGTGGACTTGGTAC